GATCATAGGTTTAGGGCTGAATGGGACCTCAGAGACCAAGTGTTCCAAGTCCCTTATTTTACAAATGAGAGGCTGGGACCCAAAGAAGTTAGGTAACCTGTCAGTGGTCACACAGGTAATATGTATCAGAACCAAGATTTGAACTCAAGTCCTCTGACTACACGTCCAGGTCTCTTTTCACTACACTGTGCTCCTGTTTCCTGATTCAGTGTAAAACAGAGAGAGGCACCAGTAAGTCAGAGTGGGTAGATTGCATAGGGTTGGTAAGGCAAGCAGTTCATTTTGAGTTTGAGGAAACTCCAGAGCCAGTGCTCTTGTTACTGTACAGTGAGGAATTTAGGGAAGAGGGGAAGGGAAAGGAACAAACATTAAGCACCTACTATGTGCCAGGCACTGTGATAAAGCGTTACAAATATTATTATCTATTTACAAATATTACAAAAGAGATCTCATTTGATTCTCACAACCACCCTGTGAGGTAGGTGCTTTTATTACCTCCATTTTACAGTTGAGGAAACTGATGCAGGTAGTGGTTAAGTAATTTCTCATTGTAAGGCAGCTATGTGGTATGATGGGCATGGAGTTAGATCTGAGTTCGAGTCCAGTCTCAGATACTTCCTAGCCATGTGATCCTGGGCAAGTCATTTAACCTGTGTGTGCGTCAATTTCCTCTACTGTAAAATGGGGATAATAATAGCACCTACCTTGTAGGGTTGTTGTAAGGATCAAAAGAGACAATATTTGTAAAGTGCTTAGCACAGTGCCTGGCACATAGTAAGCACTATATAAATGCTATCTCTTCTCTTTTCTTCTCCCTCCTCTCCTTTCCCGCCTCTTCCTTTCATATTTGAACTCAGGGCTTCCTGATTCCAGGTCCAGTACTCTATTCACTGTGCCACTTTGCTAAGAGAGCCTTGGCTCAGCCTTTTAGTTTTTGACTGAGGACTCTGAGCTTGGGAAACTTAGTTTTGAAATAGTTGAGTCCTACAAATGTTTCATTTTGCCTACTTCTATAGTGTTTTGTACTCAAGGTCATGGATTAGACAGATTGAGTGATGGCAATAGTTGTAACTCTTAACAGCCACACAATCCATTAGCTTTTTATCTCTTTCATTTCAGAATGACTTTTGATTTTGGCTCCCTAACTAGTTACTTTAGCTCCATAACTAGGTACTTTTACCTAGTTAACTCTAATATACTGATATAATGCTAACTCATATTTTCTATTGAATCTGTTTTCTGAGCTTCTCTGAATTATCATTGGGACTAGTTGTAAAATCTTTGTTTGTAGAGCTTATATAAACCAGCCTCTTTTTCTGCGTGTGAGCCTTTTTATAATTGTCTACATTAGATTCATTCTATAAATTTCCTAGTGGATTTGAAATGTTGAGCGTGTTTCTTGTGGAGCAGGTAAGTTAGCATAGAAGCTGGAAGGTTGTTGGATCATATAGGGTATCTATACTTTGCCTTCAGAGAGGTTGCAGTCTACTTGGAAGCATCATAGAATTATAGATGTAGAGCTTGAAGGGACCTCAGAGAGTATTTAGTCCATCCTCCTCATTTTAGAGATGAAGAAACTGAGGCCCAGGGAGGTTAAGTGACTTGAGTACTGTTTCAGGTGAGCATTGTTTAAGGAGAGGTGAGTGAAGGACTGAACAGTATAAAATTGGTTGCAATGAGATGTTTGCTGAATGAAATAAATCTGAGATTTGACGATGAGAGCGTGGTGTAGACAAGAAGAGAAAATAGCTTGTGTAGAGGCAAAAGTAAGCAAATTATGTGGGGAGGATGTCAAGAAAATTAGCCAAATACATAGTGTCTGTGCAGATGAGAGTCTGTCAGTCAATGAACATTTATTAAGAGTCTGCTACATGCCAGGTATCATATTAAGTACTGGGGATACAAAGAACGGCAAAAAGGAGTTCACAGTCTAATGGAGAAAAAAACATGGAAACAACAGTGTACAATCAAACTATGTACAAAATAAATTAGAAGTAATCAACAGAGAGAAGGTGCTAGAATTAGAAGGGATCAGAATGAGAAAGGGATTTTTTTGGAGTTTGGAGGAGAGAGGAGCATAGGGGTTGAATGAATAAGGGCTTTGAAAACAAAAAAAAGTTTAGGGGCACATTATCAGCTGATGCAAAGGAGAGAAGAGAAGACAATAGAAAAAAAAATAAGAAAAAAACCGCAGCTATCCTGTCTGCAGATCCTTATCTTCTCCAGTGTATATATGTGAGCTACTTGAACTATTCCTCATAGAGCATTAACTCAAGGCCCACTGTCATCCTGGTTACTTTCAGATCACTTCAGCTCACCCCTCTTAATTCAGCCCAATTTCACTTTGGCCTTTTTTTTTTGGCTCCCACACCACGTTGTTGACTCAGAGATTGTAGTCTACTAAAATTCCTAGATCTTTTTTCAGACTACTCTCTAACCATGCCTTATCCTTCTTGTGCTTATGAAACTGATTTCTCATTTGTATCAAACTGCAAGACTTTTCATTTATCGCTGTTGCATTCTATCTTATTAGATTAAATTCAATGTTTTGTCATTTATTAAGTGCTCATTTTGTGCCAGGCACTATGCTTAATGCAGGGGTTGCAAAGACAAAAGTGAGCAAACAATAAACACAATGAGTTATTATTTCTTTGCACTTTTCAATTGTGTGATTGTAAAGATGTGGTCTACTTTGGAGTGCTATTTGTGAAAGTCTGCTTATTCCCTTATACCTTCATCAAGTGATACTTGTATAGATTGTTTTTCTAAAAATTTTATATAAGTGGGAAATAGGCAAATGTTTTTTGTAGTTATTGATATTTCTTAGGGTGCCTTTTTTTTAAAGGTAATAAGTCTGAGGTTTTTTTTCCCCTACACTTTTGTTATCTTCCCTTCCTTCAGATAAATTGATAGTTAATTCATCAACATATTCAAAATTGTCACTTCCAGCACAGATCTCTGTAAATTTGGTCTGGTACATCTTTTTTTCAGTGCCGTTTCTCCAGCCTCAGGCACCACCTATGAGATTGTGCAGTTAGAGTCTAAATGTGTTGGCTCTCTTTTCATTGATGGTGAAAAAAAGTTTATGATAAAAATCCTAATAGGTCATTTTCATTTTTTCCCTCGTTGTTTTACAATTTCCTGTTAAAAGCCCTCTGTATGACTTTGCTCAGGTCACTCACCAGGCTTTCTTTTAAATGTGTTTTTTCTTCCACTGCTTTATGTTTTATGAGTTGATATTGCTATAATGTTGCACCATCCTTCTCCATAAAGTATTGCAAGTGAGTTTATATTCTAAAATGGTATTGCCTTTGACTACCCTATCCTTCTGCTTGATCAAGGAGATTAGGTATTATATGACTTAAGTGGTTTCTAAGCTCTACTGGTATGGTAATTGATTTATATTGGCTGAACTTTGTAGGAAAAAAGTTGAAATTAATGTAGTTGTTGGTTTGTCCATCCATTTAGAAGTTTAGGGCATTTTTAAGCTAGGCCAGTTAAAAAATTTAAAATACCGAGTTATAAAATTTTGTTTACTATGTCTCTTTATTTACTTAGACGGGAAATACAGGGCAACAGACTCTCTTGCTTTTTCATTTGTTCTCAAAGATCAATGAGAGGAAACGTTCTACACTTGTAGAAACATACCTCAGTCATAAACTGATGTATTACTTAAAAGTTGTAATGGATCCAGGTGCCACAGACAGGATTTTCCATTCAGTCTTATGAGCAAATATGGTTCATTGTTAGGTCTGAAATTTATTGTCATTGGTATGGTGGGGATACTGGGTGTGGGAGAGGATAATTATGTTACAGCCTTTTCTTCTTTCTCAAAATTGAACCTTATCCTCAGTACTGAAAATATTGGTAAGAAAATGAGCTGGAATTTCCTTCCCTTATTTGCAAAGTGGTGGTGGTGGTAGTCGTCTATGAGTATAGAATATTGCATATGTTGTCAAACATGGTCAATGTGTTCACTGTTTTTGCTGAACTACTCTCCCCTCACCACCTTTTAAAATCTTTGTTAAAAGGAATTGCTCATTAGGTCTAAGAAGTGGGGTGGGAGAGAGTATATATTTAGGAGTAAATGTGATGCAAAAACAAAAGGCATTAATAAAAATAATTTTTTAAAAAGAAAATAAGCTTGAGGATGTGATACTTTCTGTCTTACCAATATAGTTATTAAGCTGTGACCATAATTGAACGCGGTACTCCATATGAGATTGGTTAAGGCTTTTGAATTTATATTCTTTATTGCCATTTCTCGTTAAGTACATATCTTGCTTTTTGAAATGATTTTTGGATAAAATAATCTTTTCTCAGATGTGCTCTTTTCATTTTCATTTGATCTTCTTGACTGCTTTGTTTCTCTCTACTGATTTCTCTTTTTTGGTCAGATAAGATGGGAGTGTCTCCCAGAATTTTTATTTGTTTTTTTAAGGCCCTTACTCTTCTAACTCCTGTATACTTCTCTCTTCCAAAGTAAACATCTTACTCTATGGATTCATTTAATTTGCTTGATGTCCTCAGCTCATGACTTGCTTTTGCTTCTCTGCTTTTATGTGTTGGTTCCTCTTCCTGTCTATGCACAGCTGGCATCTTCACACGCATTTTCTAGATTGATTCTTTTAGGAAGCATTCCATGGCAGCTCACCTGATTACTCCTTTACTTGCCACCCTGAGTGCTGTTCATTTTCTACTGTATTAGTTTGCATTTGTTCATATGTTGCCATTTAAGAGTCACCTACAGTTGTTCCATGTGTATGTTCTATACTTCTTACAAGATTGCAATCTCTTTGAAGTCAAAGATGATTTTTTTTCTGCTGTTCTTCACTATAGTGCCTATTACAGCACACAAAGTGTATGCGCTGCACCTATCAAATAATCAGTTAATGCTGACCAAGTTTAAGCAAGGGGTTAAATATAATAGAACTTTAAATATTTTCAAGTTATTTTTAAAGGTTGTTTTTCTAATATGCATATACTTTTTTTCTTGGCAGGTTCTGACAGGCTACTATGGAAAAAAATAAAGGAAATTAGGAAATTTTTAAAATCAGTTTTCTCTTTGACCACAGTGATCCTGTTGTGACTTGTCTCTGTGAGTATACTTATTCCTGATGGAGTACTTTCTCATCATTTTTTGTTAGTCTTAGGGATATAGTAGCATTAAAAAAAATTGAAGAAAAACATTTTATAAGATTTATACCTTAAAAGGTTTAGTGACAGAAGGCGAATAATCTTGTGCTGCTAACAATAGCAATACCTATTTTAGACAATAGTATAGTTTCCTTAATTAAGACCTCTCTGATTCACACCCAGTGACTTAATGTGTTTATGAATTCACTGATAAATATACTGTCTCTGATAGAGCCAACACCAAAAACCTGCATCGCTTCATTAGAGATCTCCATCCAGGTTGACATCAATCAATCCATTTATTAACACTCTTTGGATATATAGTTGTTTAACTCTATATGATTCCGCCTAGGTGTATGATTAACTAGCCTATACTATTCCACTTTGTCCATCAGTATTATAAATCTGTCAAATGCCTTGCTAAATCAGATATACTTCACTTATAAGACCCTTTTCTTTGGTGTCTAATAAACATTTTATTTAAAAGTAGAGCTACTGAGCTCTCTAGGTGTGTAGATGGAGTTCCCGTCCCTTCTACTACACAGGACTGCAAAGACAGTCCTACAGTTTGCAGCTACAACAGCTGTCTGTATAGCTCGCCACTGTTTATGACTTTTTTCTTTGCACGTCACATACCTTTCACTCAAAAGAGGCCAGTTCATTTCAGGTCACTGTAAGGCTAGCTGACTCCTGCTCCTTCCTAGGTTTCTGCAGTTATGACACACTGTTTAAAGCTGTGCTTGTATAAGCTGACTCCAATTTTGCAGTCACCTGGATGAATGAACAGTTTCAAATATTACTAATCCTATTAATAAGCTTATAGGTAGCCCATAAAAACACCTCAATAGAATACTAGTGGCATAAAAATCATTCAACAGGTTTGTGACCTGTGGTATTAGAATAAGCCAATTCACCAGGGCAGGCTACTATTTAAACGTCCTATCAAATATTCTTCACATGTTCTAACAAGTAGGGTTGCACTGCAGTCATTCTTTCTGAAAAAAGGGAATGGCATGCTGTGAATTTGGTGATTTAGGAATATTTTTTGACCATTTGTGTGGAGGATAGAGTGGAGAGGGGAAGAGACAAAAAGTATTGAGTTTTGTTAGTAGGCTATTATTATACTTAGGTGAGAGGTGGTGAAGATCTGAAGTATGTGATGAGAGGACAGAGAACATTTGAGACAATTTGTGGTATAAGTGATTTGACTTGGCAGCCGATTGTATATGGGGAAGGAGGAGTGACAGACATAAAGAGTTGAGGATAATTCTGAAATGTTGACCCTGAGTTATTGAAAGGGTGGAGGTATTCTCAAGTTTAGAAGGTTAATATGAGTTTGAGAAGGAAGATACTGAATGATGTTTACATATCTCAAGCTTAAGATTGTTGTGGGGCATTGAGGTGAAAATTTTCATTTTAAAAAATGTTTTTATCGATGTTTGATTTTTACATCATCATAGTTTCCCTAAGTTTCTGTCCCCTCCTCCTAGAGAGCCATCCCATATAAAAAATAGTATATTTTTTGAACAATTGAAAAAAAACAAAAGGAGAAAATTGAATTAAAAAAATACAATCATAGTATTGAGAAATTCTGAAAACATGCAATGTGCAACGCCTGTGGACCTCACAGTTTCATGAAGGGGTGGGTTGGGGGAGTCTTCTCATTTTTTCATTCCACATATGCCTGATATTTATAATTTTGCTACATTCACCTTTTTTTATGGTTGTCTTTTCCATTTACATTGTTGTAGTTGTGTATGTTATTTTCTTTGCTCTGTTTACTTTAGTGTGCATCATTTCATGTAGGTTTTTCCTTGCTTCTCTGTATTTGTCACATTCATCGTTTCTTGCAGCACAGTAACACTTCATCACATTTATGTACCATAGTTTGTTTAATCATTTCTCAGGTGATGGGCATCTACTTTGTCTCACTTCTTTGCTATCACAAAAGTACTGCTGTAAATATTTTGGTTTATATGGGGACTTTCTTCTTATCAATGACTTTCTTGGGGTATGAGCTGAGTAATAGAGTGTGGAGTCTCTGGTTCAAGGGGTATGGACATTTTAGTTGCTTTATCACCATAGTTCCAAAATGCTTTCCAAAATGGTCGTACCATTTCATAGGAACCACTAACAACATATTAGTGTGTGTCATCCCACAACCCCTGACTGTTGCCATTTTTTGTCTTCTTTGCCCATTTGTAGCATGTGAGGTGAAGCCTTACAGTTGTTTTGATTTGATTTGGAGCATTCTTTCATGTGGGTGTGACTACTTTGCAGTTCTTCTTTTTTGAAAATAACTTTTTTCATATCTTTACCCATTGAGAATGACACCAAGCTTGAGAGCCTGGGAGATTAGGAGGATGGTGGTGTCCTTGAGCATGCTAGGAAAGTTGGAAATAGGGAAAGATTTTTTTGGGAAAGGTCCTGTATTGGACATGTTGAATTTGGTGAATGGCCCTAATTTTTTGGTAAGTATAAACTAAAGTCCTTAGCTGAGAAGGTGGGGGAAAGGGGTGCTGTGGGAAGCTTCCAGAAGGACAAAAGATTTGGAATAACTCCAGTAGGTAAAATAGAGAATTGATTAGAGAGATATAAAAGGATTGCCTTTCTGTAATGAATGCTCAGTTCAAATTTTGTATCATAAATCTGAGGAACATAGCATGATTTTATGATTTTCTCTAGCTTAATTCAGATCATGGGAATAGGAAGAAAGGAGGTGGATGATTGGAGTAATCAAAGATTATGATTTGGCAAGACATGAAATAATGGGAAAATTCGGCAAGGGATTTGAGTGTAGAAGGTACTGTAAAGTTGAACCGACTTACCAAGGGGTTGAGATAGGGAAGGAAGGAGAGTATAGCCAGTTCAGGGATGATAACCTGGAAAAGTACTGAGGAGCTGAGAAATTAAAGGTCACAGTGAGAATGAAGAATAGGGCTTGGGGTTCATAGGAAATGTCATAGGAAAAGTAGAGCGATAAAAGATTATGTTCAGATAAAATTATTTAAGACTTTGTGTACTTGCAAGTGGAACACTTGTGAGTGATAGCACGATCAAGGGGGTAACCATCTTTTTGTGTAGCTAAGGTAGAGTGGAGTAGTAGGTCATAGGAATTGAGTAGATTGAAAATAGTAGAAAGGAAAAATTACAGTGGTGGAGGTAGCATTAATATATATGTTGAAGTTGTCCCTGTTATGAGGGCAGGAGTTGAGATAGATGGAAAGACTATGAGCCATTCAGTGAACTCATTAAAGAAAGATGGAGAACATCCTGGAGGTTGATAGATAAGGTTCATAGGGTCTCTATTGGGTAATAAATTTTATTAGTGAGAACCTCAAAGAAGGAAAAGTTGCAGAGTTATGCTGTTAGAGGGAGAGTCGAAGTGGCAATGGGGGAGCAAGAGAATACCAACTCCCTCACCATAACCAGTGAGTTGGGGACATGAGTGAAAGAGCAGCCAGTACTAGGAAGGGTGGCCAGCATTGTCGTGTCATCCAGAGGGAGCCAGGTCTCGGATGGGAAATTGGGCAGGTAGGGTTGAAGCTAATGGGAATAAGGAAGCAGGCAGTTGGGAATGAGAAATAGGGTTTGTGCAATGGAAGGTTCACAGTTCCTGGAATGGGTAGAGTATGAGGGGAAAGGATTATGCTTATCATTGATCAGTGAGTCAAGAGAGGTCCACTGAGAGAATCAGGTAATTAGACTGTTCAAAGTCCTTCTTGAGGCCCAGACTCACAGCAGGTGGTTATGTTGTGTCCTGTGAGGGCCTAGAAGCTTTACTTTATAGCATGTAGGAGCACGTGGAGATATGGTGAGGGGTGTTGGATCAAGAGTCAGGGGGTTGTAGTATCTGGAAGAAATATTTAGCTTACTTGCAGCGTGGTTGCTGGAGCCTGGAGAAAGCCCTGGGGCAGAGACAGAGCCTAGAGGTGTTAGGACCAAGAGAAAGCCCTGGGAGTAATAATGAAGCCTGAGTGAGGCACAGGTCTAAGGTCTGAGGTCTGAGGAAGGTCTGGATGAATAAGGGGGCAGAAGTACAAAATTCTACTTTTTCTACTTTCACTTTTAAATCCTTTGTAATCTATCTAATGACCTCATCACTCAACTGAAAAAGGCTCTCTGCAAAGTTACCAAAGAACTTGAATTGCAAAATCCAGTCATCTTTTCTCAGTCCAGATCCTTATTGGTTTTGGAACTCTGGATATCCTCTCTGACTTTTTTGATATATTGGTTAGTTTTACTGAACATTTTTCTCCTCCCTCTTTCATTCGTTATAAGGGATATTGGCTGTCTGAAAAGGGATAGGAGAATAACATATTGGGAAAAAAATGTGATGCCACAAACTAGACCAAATGCTCTAGAGGGGATCTGATTAGGGCGGAGTACAGTGGGACAATCAGCTCCTTATTCCTGGAATTTATATTTATTTTAATATAGCAAGATTATATTGATAGTTATTGGGTTGTTTTTTGTTTTTTTTTTTTTGGCTGCCATATCACATTGCTGACTCATTGAGCTTGTGAATTATTAAACCTGCTATTCTCCAATCTTTTTCATTATGGACTGCTTTCTAGTGAGGTTCTCTCCATTTTATTGTGAAGTCTATTTCTTTTACCCAAGTATAAGAATTTATTTACATTTATGCCTTTTAAATTCTACCTTTCTATATTCAGCACAGTTTCCTAGCCTGTCATTGTCTTTTTGGATCTTGAATCTGTCATTCTTTGTGTTACTTCCTGGCTTTGTATCAACTGCATATTTGATAAATGTGCCATCTGTGCATTTATTCAAGGATTGATAAAAATATTTAATAGCATAGTTTCCAGCACAGGTCCCTGGGCCATTCCACTGGATTCCTACTAATATGTTGATGTAGAACTGTTATAAACTACTCTTTGAGTTAGATTTCTGTCTGATTATGCTATCATTTAGCCTACATCTCTCTACCTTTTATGCAAG